CCCCAAAACCCCAAAACCCCAAAACCCCAAAATTATCACTTTATATTGAAATTACAGATTATGGAAGCGATACTAAAGAGAATACATAAGAAGAGGGCTAGGAATCTCTCCACCAACCCTTCTAGTCACTCTGTAGTGGCAAAAGGACATTCGTTGGCTTTTTCAAAATCCCAATCAGGCCTACAAGGTAACCCCCTCTCTCACCCCTAGAAACCAAAGTAACTAAACGAATGCTAAAGAACGCTCTCAGCCGGAACCAGAGCATCAGCATTGCTGACAAGCTAGCAATAGTAAAGAATTACGAACAGATGAAGAACGCTAACAGCTCTCAGCTAGAAAGTACTCTGAAGAAATTGAGCACACAGTTGGATGTGACGAAGGACAATAATACTCTATGGCTTAAGAACAAAGTGAAATGCCAGCCTAAGGTAAGCTAATCCTTCCTAGACCTAGGTTCTCAAACTAAAGCCAAAATCAAAGTTAAAGAAAGACGACTCGCTCCACTATAAGCCTACTAATATATCCAAGTTCAAAGTCTTGAAGAAAAGAAATACTAAAAATGCTCCAGACTCTTGAACAATTCTACCAAATGTCCAAAGTCTGCTCCTTCCTTCCCTGTCAAATAGCCATACAAGTAAAGAAGTAAGGATCTGTGAGTTAATAGTCTTAGAACTCTGTTAGTTCAAGTTTTAACAAGGATATCAGTGACACCTCCAGCATTCGGGATGAGGAGCATAAGAAACTAAGCGTCAGGACTGAAGGGAATAAGTTACTCCCTTTAGCAAAAAAGGCTAATGACGGAATGAAGTCGCTATTTTCTAAATAAGTTCTCACGTAATCAGAGCATTGATCATTCAGAGTCTTCAGAGGATGACTCTGAGAGGCCTGAAGAAGCTCAGTTTAAATTACCTACTTGGATGACTTTGAACAAAAATTCTAAAGACAGAGCTCATCGAAGATCTTGGATTAATAATATTAATCTATACAAAGAAACAGCACTGGGTAAAGAGTAAGCTTAACGGTCCTCTTTGGTTAGACAACATAACTGACTTAAAAGCTTACATTTTTGATTATGTTAAGCTAGGGTTCTATATGAGCACATCTCTTGAGAGATGGCTTTCTTCTAGATCTTTATATAATGTATATTCTGGTGAAATTTATCTTCATACTTAACATCATATGAACTGATCAACTATATAGTGAATGCAAGATGAATAAAACTCTGGACAACAAATCTGCTAAGGAGGGATACTGTGCAGGTACTAATTTCTTAAATCAGGCAATAACAAGAGGTAAGTTATTTACAATTTATGCGCATCTTCACCGATTAAATTGACGAGTGATTTCCCAGCCTAAAATAAACCACATATATTAAAATTCCTGTTTTGTTAAGACTTCTACAAGGAAATTTTTGAAAAGAAGATTTAGAAATATCAAAATCACCACCATCTGGACCCTCAGTGGGGTTAGAAATATTATAGCTGTTTCTAGTTAGTCCTTGCTCCATTTTTATGAGTATACAAGGAATTGGTCATACATAGACTCTAATTCTTGATATATAGGAGAAGAAGTGGTCCAAAAGTATCAAAATAGGGTAAATTCTCAAGCAAGGATTGATCTTGGACCTTCTTTCAACAAAGATACTTGAAACAGTAAGTACCTTACTAGTTTAGCTAGTAATATACTGAAGAAATTAAGCATGAAGTATTTAAAATTACAATAACTATATCCTGACTGAAAGAGTTAGATCAGAGTCTCAATTAGATGTTCTATGCAGTAGGATGTTAGCCGTATTTGATGCTTTTGTATTTCCCTCTATCTCTATAACGAGTAGACTACAAATAATGTGTATTCATCGTAAAGATGTTCTTACACTATTTCGAGAATTGGACTATTTTTAACCTCTTTAACTTCCAATGTGAGAGGACATAATGTTAGATGTCTTGTTTAATAAGGTCTTAAAATTCTATTACAATAAAAGGCCCTCTGAAATAATTATCTCTGACATACCAATCCTAAATCACCTTGAGACCTTCCAGCTCCATTACTGGTTCCCTCTAAACTTTTTAAGTTACATTTTTCTGGAGAGAGGTTATGTAGCTCTTCGGCAACCAATTGTCCAAAATTTCTTTCTAAAATTACGCAAAAAAGAAAGCTAATGCATTAGTCAAGACTAGGCTGAAACGTGGCTTAATTTCCTTTACCGTTAGCATAGATTAGACTCTGTGTGCCTGTAAATTAGGAGATATTCTGAAATCGTTTATAGTAGAGAAATCAAGAAACCAAAACCAGACCAATGAGCCAGGAAGTGAACTGGTTAATCTAGGTAGGTTATTGAGAAGCCTGTTGTAACTATTTCATTCGGCATTTTCATACCTCTGGTAGAATATTATGGGCTTGGAAAGATATTTTTATATAGATGCTAAGCCAATAATCAATCGGTCAAGAGGAATTATGGACAAATTACGCTATTTTAGTCAAAATAAAAACAATAAGTCTAAAGTAAAATAAGAGCTTGGATGCTCTTCTCCAAGTAGGTTATGTCCACAATTAGTGGCTATCATACTTGAGTAGATATCTACCTCGGCTTGAAAATTAACAGTCTACTGTTAAAGCAGTTTATAATCTTTCTGAAGAATTCATTCAATGAGTGTCTCTCAACAAGGGGTTTTGGGGTTTTGGGGTTTTGGGGG